TGTCAATTTTAGGTCAGGTTTGACTCAGTTTTGGGTCAATTTTTAAGACAGTTTTGGGTCAATTTTGACTCAGTTTTTGGGTCAATTTTGACTCAATTTTTGGTCAATTTTGGGTCAATTTTGGGTTGATTTTGGGTCAATTTTGGGTCAATTTTAGGTCAGTTTTGGGGACAAGTTTGGGTCAATTTTGGGTCGATTTTGGGTCAATTTTGGGTTGATTTTGGGTCAATTTTGGGTCAATTTTAGGTCAGCTTTGCGGTCAATTTTGGGTCAATTTTGAGTCAGTTTTGACTCAATTTTCAGGACAATTTTAAGTCATTTTGGGCTCAATTTTTGACTCAATTTTGGGTCAATTTTGAGTCGGTTTTGACTCAATTTTCAGGCCAATTTTAGGACAATTTTGGGTCAATTTTGACTCAGTTTTTGGGCCAATTTTCGGTCAATTCGGGGTGAATTTTCGCCCCGGTTTTCGAGCCAATTTTGGGTCAATTCGGGGTGAATTCTGGGCCCAGTTCGGCCCAGTTCGGCCCAGTTCAGCCCAGTTCAGCCCAGTTTCTGCCCCCCCAGGCTCGGGCCGCCCTGGCCTTGGCCGTGGTGGCCTCGATCGTGTCCTTCCTGGCCCTGGGCCTGCAGGGGCTGCTCGTGGCCTACGGGTGCCCCTCCTGCTTCCACCTGGGACCCCCCGCCCAGGTGAGTCACTTTGGGGCATTTCGGGGCATTTTGGGGAATTTCGGGGCATTTTGGGTCATTTTTGGTTATTTTTGGTTATTTTTAGGTCATTTTTGACTCAATTTTAGGTCAATTTTGACTCAATTTTTGGTCATTTTTGAGTCATTTTTGGGCTCAATTTGAGCTCAGTTTTGGGTCGGTTTTGACTCAGTTTTTGGGTAATTTTGGGTAATTTTGGGTCATTTTTGGTTATTTTTGGTTATTTTTAGGTCATTTTTGACTCAATTTTAGGTCAATTTTGACTCATTTTTTGGTCATTTTTAAGTCATTTTTTGGTCATTTTTGAGTCATTTTTGGGCTCAATTTGAGCTCAGTTTTGGGTCGGTTTTGACTCAGTTTTTGGGTAATTTTGGGTAATTTTGGGTGATTTTGGGTCATTTTTGGGTCATTTTTGGTGATTTTTAGGTCATTTTTCGGTCATTTTAAGGTGAATTTTGACTCATTTTTTGGTCATTTTTAAGTCATTTTTTGGTCATTTTTGAGTCATTTTTGGGCTCAATTTGAGCTCAGTTTTGGGTCGGTTTTGACTCATTTTTTGGGTAATTTTGGGTAATTTTGGGTCATTTTTTGGTGATTTTTAGGTCATTTTTTGGGTCAGTTTAGGGTCATTTTTAGGTCAATTTTGACTCAATTTTGGGTCGTTTTTAAGTCATTTTTGGGTCAATTTGAGCTCAGTTTTGGGTCAGTTTTGACTCTGCTTTTGGGGTCATTTTGGGGTCATTTTGGGTCATTTTGAGGAATTTTGGGTCATTTTGGGTCAGTTTTGGGGTCATTTTTCAGGCATTTTAATGTCAATTTTGACTCATTTTTGAGTCAGTTTGGGATCATATTTGGGCTCAATTTTGACTCAATTTTGACTCAATTTTGGGTCATTTTTGGGCTCAATTTTGACTCAATTTTGGGTCAGTTTGGGATCATTTCTGGGCTCAATTTTTACTCATTTTTTGGGTCAGTTTTGGGGCAGTTTTGAGTCAATTTTTAGGGTCAGTTTTGACTCAATTTTAGGTCAGTTTTGACTTGTTTTTTGGGGCAGTTTTGACTCAGTTTTTGGGTCAATTTTGAGCTCATTTTTGATTGAATTTTGTATCATTTTTGACTCAATTTTGGGTCAATTTTGACTCAATTTTGGATCAGTTTTGACTCATTTTTTGGGTCAGTTTTGACTCAATTTTTGACTCATTTTTTGGCTCATTTTTGACTCAATTTTGGGTCAGTTTTGACTCAATTTTGGGTCAGTTTTGACTCAATTTCGGGTCAATTTTGACTCATTTTTTGCTCCATTTTTGCCTCAATTTTGGATCATTTTTGACTCATTTTTGGCTCCATTTTTGCCTCAATTTTGGGTCAAATTTGCCTCATTTTTAGCTCAATTTTGCCTCAATTTTGTCTCATTTTTCACCCAATTTTGCCTCAATTTCGGCTCATTTCTGACTCAATTTTGGGCCAGTTTTCGACCCAATTTTGAGCCGTTTTCGGGCCTTTTTGGGTCACTTTTGTTGCCTCCCCCTCCCCCAGCGGGTCCTGCTGGGCACCCACGTGCTCCTGATGACGTCATCGGCGGCGGGGGCGGGGCTCGCCGTGATTGGTGCAGTCGCCGCCACCAGGGCCCGCCCCAAAAAGATCCAGCCAGTGAGTGACGAGGGGGGGCGTGGCCTAAATAAGGGAGGGAGGGGCTTAATTTAAAAGGGGCGGGGCCATAACAATCTACAGGGGAAGGGGCGGGGCTTCCCTGTGAGAAGTGGGCGGGGCTAAAGGAGGCTCTTCCTTATAAAAGGGGTGTGGTTTATTGGGGGCGTGGCCTGGCTCTGACCACGCCCCCTTCTCTCCAGCCCGTGGTGATTTACCAGACGGCCCTGCCTGTTGTGGGGGCGGGGCCTGCGGAGGCCACGCCCACCAGCGACCCCGCCCCTCAGTGAGGACCAATGGCGGCCGAGGGGGCGTGTCTGGCTCCGCCCCCTCCCTCCCCGTGCCTTTTATTTAATTCATTAGTTAATTATATTTAATTACTTTTATTTAATTAACGTTGTTATTAATTAAATGTTAATTTATTGCATTTAATTATTCAATAAATTCCCTAATTAACCACTTAATGAGTTAATTCCGATTTTTGCTTTAATTCCCTCGAATAAAAACCCCGAAAGAACCAAACAAATGGAAATAAAAAGGATTTTGGGTGTAAAAAAAAAAAGTTCCTTTTGGCCCCTCCCCCTCTCCCATCTGGCCCCTCCCCCTCCGCTCTCCCATTGGCCGCTGGCCTTCTTTAGCCCCGCCCCCTCCTTAGCCCCGCCCCCTTCGCTCTCATTGGCTGTTGCCCCCACTCAACCCGTCTCTCATTGGTCCCTCATAAGCCCCGCCCCCTCCTCGGTCCCATTGGCCCAGGTTCTTTTTAACCCCGCCCACTTTGCCCTCATTGGTTCCGATCTTCTTAGCCCCGCCCTCCTTTGCTCCCATTGGTTCTGATTTCCTTTAGCCCCGCCCCCTCATCCCACAACCTTAATCCCACCCACTCTTTGCTCCCATTGGCTTAGATCCCTTTAGCCCCGCCCTCCTTCTACCCCTCCCTTAATCCCTCCTCCTCCCCTCTCCCATTGGTCCCGGTTCCTTTTGACCCCGCCCCTTTGTTCTCCCATTGGTTCTGATCCCCTTAGCCCCGCCCCCTCCTCCCGCCTCCTTAGTCCCTCCCCCTCCCGTCTCCCATTGGTTCCGTTTCCTTTTAACCCCGCCCTCTCCTTGCTCCCATTGGTTCCGCTTCCCTTTAACCCCGCCCTCTCTTTGCTCCAATTGGTTCCGGTTTATTTTAGCCCCGCCCGCTCTTTGCTCCCATTGGTTCCGTTTCCCTTTAACCCCGCCCGCTCTTTACTCCCATTGGTTCCGGTTCCCTTTATCCCCGCCCCCTCCCCTCTCCCATTGGTCCCGTTACCCCTTAGCCCCGCCCCCGCTTCACTCCCATTGGCCCCGGTTCCCTTT